AGAAACAACTTTCTGGTTTTCCACTCGTAGAGATTTCAGCAGTTTTTATTTTAACCACTGAACTTAACAAATGGCTAGTTGCATCAAGTTGGATTCAACAGACTAAGTGTACAGAATCATATAGAAGTCAGTTTAAATCTACCCACATGGATCCAGTTCGTAACAGTTAGCATCTGGTTTCACAGCCCACCCTCACTTAAGCATGTTTATAACTTTGCTCATAGGCTGTATGCTTTTGGATTAAGTGATTCCAGGATCTGACTCCTAGAGCTTTTAATTGCCGAGGGCTTCAACACTGCATTACAGCTGCCAGAATAGATTTGCAAGACTACACTTTTTATTTCCTCTACTCTAAATTTCTAAAAGGGGTTAGGGAAAGGGAAAGATGCTCTTGTAAAATAGCTTTCAACATACAAAGCAATCACTACATTAGAATGTTTCCTTTAAAAAGAGAAGATACAATAGGTTATGATTTATTATTGTAAAGTGGGGGGCAGATATATCATTGACAACTTTCTCTCTTCCACCACCACTTCAAGCACTACTTCTTCTCATGCACCATTTTCATCATCAGCCCAGTCTTTATGTGATACTCACCACTGAAATGCATTCTGTACTTCAGCTATTCCCACAGCAGTGCTAATGTGAGCAATTGACAATAGCTCTTTGTTTCTTGCTTCTCCTTACTACTGCATAAGGAAATGAAGTCCCTGTAATTAAATGTAAGAGTGCTGGGTTGAGGAAAGGAAAAAAGTCTTCAAGAAGAACTCTTGGGTGTGGAGCACTACAAGGAAACATACCCACCTTGTGCTAACCAAAAATGCAGGGGTAAGAAGCCCAGGGCTAAAAACTGATGTTGAGAAAGCTAATGTGGCTGCAGAGGTGGAGCTGAAAGCATTATTTGGCCTGCAGAATTTAATGACCGGTGAGGAGGTGTAAGAAAAAAATAACCTCTTTTATCCATTAGAGGTTAGTAGTGCGAGAAATTACTCACCTTTTTATTTATGAATTGAGCAAACTTTAAACAGGAATCAGCAAGACACAACCAATATTAAACATCTCAATGTCACTTTTATAGGGTAATTTTTTTCAGAACAGCACTGTTCTTTTAGGTAGCTGGATAACATGAAAAGGAAACTTGGAGACTGTTCACTGTGATCAGAGCCCATTCATAGGGGAATACTTATTAGAGTCTCATGGTCATGTTATGTAGGTAGAAGGCAGAGATAGTATTTTGCATGTTAGTTCACTTGAGAAACAACATGTGAAGAATGCTTGTGAGTGATGTTTGGGCTGGGGCTATAAGATAAAGAACACTTAACTCTTGTTCTCTATTTCCTTTTTACTGTGTTCACATGCAAAATCTTGTATTGTTTGCTTGGGTTGACAAGTAGGACCTGCCTTAGTTTTCAATTGAAATCTAACCTGTACAGCACTGAGTTTGGGGTCACAGCTGCTGTTCCAAAATGCTCTGTACAACTCAACTTCCTTTTGTAGAGAGCAACTCAGCTATCAGCATTTATTTGCAAAGGTCCAGCTATACTATCTGGCTTTGTACCTATACCATTCTAAGCACAGAGAGCAGGCTGCAAATAAGGCTGCTGAAATTAAAGCATTTATGCAATGACAATATATCAAAATTGTCTTCTTTCCTTGTCATTGTACAACTTCAGGTTGTGCAATTCAGCCTAGAGCTTCTTCATTTGCCCATGCTACCTTATTCATTGAACTGTAACACCATTCCCACAAAATACTTTTCTGTGCTGGTTTTATTTGCTCATTGAGTTCCTTCTATTACAATGAACAGTTGCACAGGTTTTTCCTGTTGTCATAATATCTTTTATTTAATTAAAATAATACCCCAAAATATCAACTATATGTTTTTTACAAGAATGCTAGCAAAGGTTTGTTTCCTGCTCATTATTGCAACTGAAGTCAGTAGGTGCTACAAAACCTGGATGCTTTTGAAAGATGAGATGCAGGAAGTATTCAGTTATTGCCCCAAACCTGACAGAAATGCAATTGCTGAATGCTAGAGACAGTAGGGTATTATCCTTTAAAATAATTTATGGAGGGAAATGTCTTTTCTGCAACATTCTCTTTTATTTAATGGGAAAATTTAAATGTTTCCAAAATATTTCAATTGCCTGCATGGAAAATTGAGATGATATCTGCCTGCCTCACTGGCTGTTTGGCTATTTTCTTTCTGTTCTAAGAAACTGATTAAAGCCTTCCCTGCCAAGGGCTAACAAGCTAAAAACTTGTTTCTGTTCTCCCAAGATGCTTTTTTCCTCCTCAAAATGTACTTTGGTGGAAAAAAAATTCATGACTTTGCTCTTTCATACCAATTTGGGGTGGAAAGATTTAGAAATGGCTTCCCTGTTCCTGTCTAGCCCTGGCTGATACTCCCTAAATATATTAGCCTCGACTGTTATCTCCCTCACTTTCCAAATCTGTCAGATAGGGGCTAATTATACAACTCTCCTTTCTGAAAGAGCTAGGGATTAATGTAACATTTGTAAAAGCTCTTTGAACACTCAAAAGGATGTTCCTCAACTTGTTCGGGTCCAAATATTATATGCAGCATGTGTGGAAGACCCAAAATGAGAGATACGCAAAAATTGTTCCTATCAGAAAGTTAAAGTGTTGTTGAATTTTTTTCTAGTGGTGCAGATAATTTTTTCTACAACTTCAGTTTAACTCTCTTTTAATCTCCATCAATTAAAGTGAGAGCTCATATCCCACAAAAAAAGAGGTATTATATGAACTATGGATAGAAAACACAACGTATGGTCAAAGATGTTTTGTTACTTTTGAAACTTCTTAAGTAGTTTAGTCTTTAACTAAACTTTAGAGAAGCATAAAGAACTGATGTTTTTACTCCACTGAAAGAGCTTTTATTTAGAAAATAAATTAACTATATTCCTGGATATAAATTATAGTATTAATATTTATTATATAAATTATAATAAAGTGATTGTTACCTCTCCACTGAGAAAATAATTAAGCAATTATACATGCTAAAATAAGTGAAGTATAAGGAAAACAAACCAGGATAGTATTTAAGAGAGTGAATCACACTACTAATTTGTTAGAATTAATGGAAAGTACCACAGAAAAGTGAGTTGATCTGATGTATTTATTTAGATTTTCAAACCAATTTCTTGTTGATGCTGTACAGGGAGTTTGATAATCACAGGTAAATGGTAATATATTTCATAAGCTAATTTTTATAGTGGGAAAAATGTGTCATCTTTACATTTGTTGTGATATTTGTTCTCAATATTGTGAGAAATGTTGTCTAGGTCTAATAGGATTTGGTGACTTGATCGAGGTTGGGACAGTGGATGTATTTTCACTATTGAAAGATTAGTGGGATGCCTCAGACCTAGATGTTCTGTTGCGCAATTTATTTGTGCTGCTCAAGTCCATCCTACGCACTGTTGCTAAAATTATCTTCCTTGCCTGTTGATCTCACTGTATTTCTCCCCAACTGGTTATTTAAATCTTAGTATGTTAGTAGCAAATGCTCTGTGGTATTTTAAATTGAAAGCAGATGTGAAAACCAGTATGGCTGGAAGGGATCTTGAGAGGTCATCCAAGCCTGTCCCTTTGCTTCAAGGCAAGTTCAACCCAAAACATTCCTGACAGATGTTTGCCTAACTTGTTTTAAACAAAACCTACCACTGATGGAGCTTCCACAATCTCTCTGGATAACCTAGTCCATTGCTTAACTATCCTTTACAACTACCAGGCCTGAGAGGCATGTCCACCCCATCCCTGATCTTGTCTTGGAAGGCATGTCCAGAAGGGAGTTGAGGAGTTAGGGCTGGAGCTGGAGGCAGCTTTCTTTCCATCCCCAGCCAGACTTGTTTGTTTTATATGAGCCACTAAAGAAGAATCTGCTGACCAAGGGCAGGGTGTTAGCAAGTTTTAACCTAAAGAGTTCCATTAGCTAGCCCACAAATATCAAACGTACCTTGTGCCCTAGGCCACATCTGAACTGTGGGACTATGCGGGCTGGATTCCAGCCCAGAGCACAAGGAAACTGTGGTAGTTCCACTTCCTCCCCAGAGCAGCCTAGGGCCCAGTGGGGCTCATCCTGCCCACCTACTGCTCCAACCTGGGGCATGCAGCAGGTCTAGTCCCTGCCCTGTGTACCATGTGAGCGCCAGAGCTGCCGCATGCTCTGTGCCATAGCGGTAGCTGTGACTCCAGTTCCTGCACAGGGCACACAACAGAAACCAGCATCCAGAGAACTAGAGCCATAGCCATGCAGACCTGAAAGCAGCAAGAGGACCACCGGAGCCGTGTTAGCCCTCATTCACCCTCCTGCCACCAGTTGTCATGCTGCCAGGGCCCTGCAGGAAGCACCTCCCCAGCCTCAGTGGTGAACCAGATAGAACGGCTCTGTGGGCTGGATGTTTGACACCCCTGAGTGAACCCATCAATGCAGTCTGGGGGTTACAGAGGCAATCTTGGAGCTTTAAACTTTATCTTACAGCCTGTAGGGTAGCACTGAAAAGCCCTACAGTAGGCACTGGTGCAATGCTTCCCCAAGGGCAGAGCTTCTTAACCACTTTGAGACTCGTGACACCCCTGGACAGACTGGAGGCGTCCCTTGGAAAATGCCAGCTTAGTTTTCACTCTTCTTCTGAAAGCAGAAAAATAACAGAGCAGCACTTCTGCTGTAAAGACCTCAGGCCACCCCTGCTGCTCCCTACTTCAAATCTCTGGGTTGATTTTGCACTTTGTGTTTGCACACTTCCCAGTGCTGATATTGCGGGGCACCCCTGAAAGAATCTCAAGGCAGCCCTGGGTGCTGCGACCCCCTGGCTGAGACTCCCTGTCCTAGGACCAGCGCACTTTACTGGGACTGAGGGCCCCCCACAGCAGGGTAGCTGCCCCGTCTGCAGGGGGGATTGCATGTCAACAGCTCTGCGTGCATTTGGTCCCTTGATAAAGCATCTGCACCGCAAGAGGAGCACAGGGCACATCCCTGCCCACCCCAGCGCAAGCGAAGCAGGCAGAAGCCGCAGCGAGGACCACACTACGGCGCCCCCCCAAGACGGAGACGCATCATACTGTGCCCCCAGCGGCCCCGCCCACATGGAGACGCGCATGCGTAATGTGCCCCCAGCGGCCCCGCCCGGAAGGGCCGGTTGATGACGCCACGGAAAGGAGTGCGACACGCGGAAGTTTCCGGCTTCTTTTTGGCTCCTGGAACCTTCCTTTCTCCCCCTGCGCGGGCGCCCGAAGCTGTTTGAGCGCCGCACGGAGCGCGGCTCGGCAACATGGCGGCGCTCGTGAGCTGCTGCTTGAGGAGAGGTGCGTGTGGTAGGGGCTGGGGCCCGCTCCCCCCTTTTCTCCCTGCCAGGAGGCGCCGGGACCAGGGCTGGAGGGTCCCCCGCCTCTCCGGGGCCGGGAGGGGTTTGTTCTGCCCCTTGACCCTGTCAGTTGACGTCCTCTTCTCTTCCCCTCCCTCCTCCGGCGGCCGTTGGAACCGGGGGCTTGAGGAGGGCTGAGCGTGATGCCCAGCTCCCCCCCGCCGGCATTTTGGAACCGGTGGGCGCGGGGCGCTCGCGCTGCGGGGGAGGAGGGATGTAAGGTTTAGTTTCGTCCCGCAGCAACCTGTCCCCGGCCAGGTGAGGCTGGGGAATAACTAGTAGTTAGCCCTGGGGTCTGTATTAGGGTGAGATTTAAATGCCGTTTGTCAGAGTCCTGTCCTGTGACTGCTGATGTGATCTAATAACCAGGTGCCAACTTTTCTGTAGGAATTAAAACTTGTGGAAGAGGTGATCTCTTTTACTAGACCTAACTAAATATTTGCAAGCAGATTATTCAATTTATTTGCAAGCTTCCGGGCACAGGAGAGAACAGAGTTTTGTCAAAGTTCTCCTAGGTAGAAATGAAAATTCATATTGTTCAGGAGAGCTGAAAGTGTGGTAAAATCTCCTGTTTGGAATAGCTCATTTTGTCCAGGTTAGGCCCAGAGAAAGATTGAAAAGTCTTTTTACTTCCAAGTTGTCTGATGGCAAGCAGGATGTAGAAGCATATTTCCTTCGTGTTATGATGTTTTGTATTTCACAGAGGAGTGGAAAGATGGAAAGCTCTTCTGGGCAGGAGTTTCTTTTGTGGTGAGTTATCTATGTGTCTCTGTAGAGCAGCCAGGCTTCTGGAGGGGGACAAGGATACTTTCCTCTCCAGAAACAGTTTACCCCATGTCATTTGGGCTCACATGGTTGAAGGTTGGGAGACAACAACTGGACGATCACCTTGCTGGGGTCACCTGACCCCTAGTTGTCTTTCCTGCCTGCTGCAGGGGACTGGACCCGATGATCTTCCAAGGTCCCTTCCAGCCTTGCAATCTGTGAATCCCTCTCCCCCTCCCCCCCGCCCCCTTGCATTGTACAGGGATTCAGATATAGCTATGTCTTTGTGTAGGACTTCAGGTTGCTTGTCCTCTGTGGGGTGGCTGACTGGGACAGCAGAAGGCACATGGTTTGAAAAATCCTCTACAACCATGTTGTGAAATGTGTCATGGAAACTACTGTCAGGAAAATTCTGCTCTGTGGATTGGGAAAGACTGTAAGGGTAGGAGGGACTTTTTGATATTAATCCCACATTGTGTCTCCTTTCCATGAAAGAGAGTTGAGACGCCAGAGCAAAGGCCCCTACCACCTTAATCGAGGACAACTTATCCTTTACAAGACACTCCAACGTAATTTGATTTTTGTGGCCAAAAGCAAGTTAAAACTGTGATTGATGAGGGGTGCAAAGTATGACATTGCTTACCCTGTGTCACTTAGAGTCATAGAATAATAGGGCTGGATGGGGCCTCAGGAAGTCACCTAGTCCAGTCCCTTGCTGAAAGTAATCCCTTTGCTTAGTATTGGTGTCCAGGGACCAGTGAGGATTGGGAACTATTTCTTTATTATGGAGAGATGGGCAACAGAAGGAAAGTTGTAAAAATGCCTTCACAAATTGGGTCAAAATATATCTAATGAAAGGAGCAAAAGCCTACCTTTTTAACTGATGATAATTTATTATCATAATAAATGTTATTAACTTTATTTTTTCCCTGTTTTTAACAGTTTGGGCTCAATGTCCTCGCTATGTATTTCCCAGGATTGATCAACATGTCTCAGCGGTTTCCTGTTCTATAAACATACAGCAGTCCAGTAGACCCTATGCAGCTGCCGCAAAGTGAGATTGTGCTTTATTTCTAGGAGCCTGTTTGTTTCTGTAGGTTTAGATTATTCAAATTATAGGTTTAGATTATTCAACAGCAAATAGGTAGAGCCCTTTTCTCCCCAGCACCACCCGGGGTGATAAGGAACAATGGTCATAAGCTGATGGAGAATACGTTTAGGTTAGAGATCAGAAAAGCAGTATATTACAGTTAGGGTGGCCAGAATCTGGAACCAACTTCCCAGGGAAGTGGTCCTCGCCCCTACCTTGGGCAAATTCAAGAGGAGGTTGGATGATCACCTGTCTGGGGTCTTGTGAACCCAGCATTCATTCCTCCCTGTGGCAGGGGATCAGGCTAGATGATCTGTTCAGGTCCCTCCTGACCTTAGCTACTATGAAACTATGAAATGACTTTTACACTTGTAGCTTATCAGAGCTGAATTACTATCATCGTAAGTGCCTTGAATATTGGTGTAAATGGCTTTTTAGGAGCTATGACTGCTACTTCTCACAAGGTTGCTAGTGGTATGTTAGAAAAGGAGGTGGCCATCTATTGGTGAAACAGTTACAGAAAGATAACTGCTCTGGCATAGTTGTAATATGTATTTTTAAATTTACAGATATAAATACTATAAAAGCATTTGACAGCAGAAACAAATACAAAAGTTTTTAAAAACAAAATAACCAGTAAGAATCTCCAAGAAAGCCTGTCAGTTGCTTTTACTGCCAATTTCTGTGGCTTTTACAGTTGCTCCTTTTAAAACAACAGAAATAAATGTCTCTGTGTTCCTAGGTGAAAAATTCACATAGACAAAGGAGAGAGAAGAAATTAGCTAAACAAGCAGAACAGTTGAACTTTACATACAAAGTACTGTTCAAGTACTTGTGATGCCTTTTGATTATAGTAAAGTTAGTGGTTAATTGTAAAAATTATAGGTAAAATGTTCAAATGGAAGTACTGCATGGCTGTTTAATACTTTAATGTATAGTCCTATGTCGTTCTTTATACACTTTACCTTGCCTCTCTCAAAATAACGTCATCATGATCTCCCTGCAATGAGCTGATTGCCAGGTTGGAGCCTAAGATGTTAAGCAATGTGCAAATAGAAAGTGATGAAACATATCAGATTTATAAGAATATGTAGACTTTGTCATTACCAAGATTATATGTACAAATAGCAGCTCTCAGTTGTCTTTTAACTTGACATTAAACTCTTTATTGAGTCTTATGTGGAAGATTGAGTTTTGTTGGTGGCTTGGGAATTTTTTTTTTGGTTCTGATTATGTCTTTCCTCTTCCTCTTGTACTTATTCTTTTTGTCTTTGGGAAATCCAGTGCAGTTTTGATGGCCTGCTTGTTACTTCATGAGTTGCTTTTGACATGCAATGCTGTGCTTTATTTTGAGTTTACAAGCTGAGTTTGGTTGAAATTGTATTAGTCTCTGCTCTACATCTCAGTTGATAATTTTATATGTATCATTTTTGTTTGCAAAAGATCTGCAAAAAACCCAGCAAAGGATGTGAAACAGAAAAAATCTGAAACAGCAACAGCAAAGGGAAGGAGAACTTCCAGACCATTGGCAAGCAAGCCGGTGGATGACGTGTATTTAGTAAGGTTGTATAAAAGGCCAGTGTATGAGGTAGAGGTGGCTCTGGACATGCTGAGGAAGTTTCAGGAATTGGACTTCACTAATCCAAAACAATACATATATGTTAATATAACCCTGGATATGACACTGGAAAAGAAGGTACGTTCAAAGTAGTTACAGATTTTTAGTATGACATTTTAAGGAACTGCTTTTGTTAACTGTATGGGAGAAGATGAAAAGTAATGGAGAACCTTCAATGGTCTTGCTTTGGCTTCTTCTCCAAAGCTCTTTCATACTCAGCCTTTTGCTTACACCGAGTGTGTTCTGCTATGCTTTTCCAGATCTCTGTGTATGGTACTGTTCAAATTCAGTATCTGAATGTGTTCTTTACTCTGATTATCAATAATTTTTGTTGTACATATTAAAAGCAGGACTCCTGCATAACTAAAGCACTGATCCAAGGGGTAAACCTGATCAAAATAGGTTTGTGATCTGTTTGCATGTTGTCTTTAAAGGATATGCAATTTTAAAAGCTGCCACCAGAGTGTGAAAGTTTTGCATTCTCAGTCTATGTTCCTTACATTGCTGCTAGGGAAGTGCCCTATTTAACAGGAACCCAAGAACAATTCACTAGCACTGTCAAGTGAATTTCCTCGTGAGACAAGAGTAAAGACTTTTTTAATTTTCCCCTCCTGTTTGCATTTCCCACCCTTATGCTCTCAGAATGGATATAGTATGTTGTTACTTCTAATTGCTCTGCTTTTCGATAGCGCTGCTGGCAAAA